TTGTCTACAGTAGCCATGAACTCGCATGTATTTTCTTATTTGAGGGGGGGGGGGGGGGTGGATGCGTGGGCCACCCGAATAGGTTAAGGGGCTTTTGGCTTTTCTTGGACTAATATTTCCTCTGCATGTTGACATAGACTTGATTTTATATTGAGGTGATGAGTCCAAATTGCACGATAACAACTCTAACAAAGAAATAAGCTTTTAACTAGCCACCAACCGCTAACTGTAAATCACATTTTATTTATTATATATCATTTATTTATTAGATTATAACATATATTATGTTATATTTTATTTATTGTTTATTTTATTTGTTCTATAATGGAACAACTGTCACAAAAAACAACCTAAGACCTATTGTATGTGATAAGCTTAGGGGCGGGACATCTCTAAACAGTTGACCAATCACCACAGAGCCGGCCAGCTAACCAATCAGAGCCATTAAAGCATTGAGACATGTCATGTAGAGACACTACATACTGATATACACCTGAACATCAGCAGGAGAGGACTCTTTAAAGTAGAGACACTACATACTGATATACACCTGAACATCAGCAGGAGAGGACTCTTTAAAGTAGAGACACTACATACTGATATACACCTGAACATCAGCAGGAGAGGACTCTTTAAAGTAGAGACACTACATACTGATATACACCTGAACATCAGCAGGAGAGGACTCTTTAAAGTAGAGACACTACATACTGATATTCACCTGAACATCAGCAGGAGAGGACTCTTTAAAGTAGAGACACTACATACTGATATACACCTGAACATCAGCAGGAGAGGACTCTTTAAAGTAGAGACACTACATACTGATATACACCTGGACATCAGCAGGAGAGAACTCTTTAAAGTAGAGACACTACATACTGATATACACCTGAACATCAGCAGGAGAGGACTCTTTAAAGTAGAGACACTAAATATCACTATATTACTCTACATTTCTTAACAAAAAAACCTGCCACTAAGTTACTGAGATTACAAATCAAATCAATACCACCACATTGACTCAGTGTTGTACTCTTTGTTATCCCCACATGTACTGAACCTAACAACTAAAAGGCTCAATTATTTCCCAGGAATAATGCAGCATGCTGCGGGGAATCCATAACGAGATTCTTTTGAATTTCACTACAGTGGAAACAGTAATGGCTTTTGAAAAGTACATTTGAGAATCTGACCTTTAACGTAGCACCCTATCTGGGATAACACATATGATTGTTAGCTGACTTGAGTGCAAACTGTGCTGTGTTATTGTAACAGACAGATTCTGGTAATGTGTGAAACGTAGAACATTTCGTGATTCATCCTTTTCATTAATACATTCGAGGAAATGTGTTTGGTCATTCAGTTTCTGCTACACATCTCAACCCGAGCACTGTGCTGTGATGATGTGAAATACACGCTGGAGGGTTCACCCTTTACACCACCTAATGAAAAAACACTCGTAATTCTTTACTTTTCGTTTATTTCCTCAAGGCACGTCTGACTTCTGAGCACCAAAGGAGTGTGTTGGGAACCAAAGTGATGAATTTATAGATTCTTTCGTGGTATTTCCTAGCTGAGAATGGTCAATTTTAAGAACAAAATCTTGTATTTCTTTCCTTACTTCTCAGCAAAGATCCAGCCTTAACAAAGTAATTTACGAGCTGCACAGAAACGGGTTTACACACAAGCCTCGGAGCGACGGATGAAGAATGGTCTGACAGCGCTGTGTGCTTGTGAATGATTGAAAATGTGTACAGACTTCAATAATTATCCCCGACATGTGAAACTAATGGAGCTCCTTAAAGTGCCTCAAGTGTAAATCATTACTCGTGCTAATAGAGTTACACTGACACCAAAATGACTGCAAGAAGGGACAATAGTGTGTTCTTAAATTATGTTTACATTAAAGTGATGTTGGGGAGAAATATGAGCATTTACTGAAGGTCTGTGGTTAACATGATGTTCTATAAACGTATCTTTGGCTGATGAATTATTGAAGGTCACTAATTGCATTAGACGTAGCTTTTTGACAGTAACCGTTGGAGCGCATCATCTTTGTGTAAAAGACGCCTAAATTGCTTTCTGTTTAAATGTGTTCAGATTGAGAGCAAAGCTAGTTTTAGATATAATAATGCAATGGGATACATAATCAATACAAAGTCAGGGCAGTTTTGAAGAAGGTACAAGCATGTCTTCATTTAAAAAAGCTAAGTTACAGCAGCACTACTTTTTAAACAAGAGTAACTTTTTAAAGAGGCCCTATTCTGCTTTTTGGGATTTTCCCTTCCCTGTGTTATGTAGGTTTTTGTGCATGTTAATGGTCTGCAAAGGCTAACACTCCCTCACACTCTTGAAACTCCTGTGTTTACTTCCACAACATAATGACATCACCATGTAACACTCGCACTAACTATTGGCTTTCGCTCCAACACTGAAATGATAGGTTAAGGGGCGGGACATCTCTAAGCTGGTTGTCCAATCACAACAGAGCCGGCCAGCTAACCAATCAGAGCAGACTGGGCTCTGGTTTCAGACAGAGGGTGAAAAGAGGTGCTGCAGCACAGACAGTATGAGAACAATAAAGAGCTTTTTGAACATTAAAGCATGGAGACATGTAGAGACACTACATACTGATATACACCTGAACATCAGCAGGAGAGGACTCTTTAAAGTAGAGACACTACATACTGATATACACCTGAACATCAGCAGGAGAGGACTCTTTAAAGTAGAGACACTACATACTGATATACACCTGAACATCAGCAGGAGAGGACTCTTTAAAGTAGAGACACTACATACTGATATACAACCTGAACATCAGCAGGAGAGGACTCTTTAAAGTAGAGACACTACATACTGATATACACCTGAACATCAGCAGGAGAGGACTCTTTAAGTAGAGACACTACATACTGATATACACCTGAACATCAGCAGGAGAGGACTCTTTAAAGTAGAGACACTACATACTGATATACACCTGAACATCAGCAGGAGAGGACTCTTTAAAGTAGAGACACTACATTACTGATATACACCTGAACATCAGCAGGAGAGGACTCTTTAAAGTAGAGACACTACATACTGATATACACCTGAACATCAGCAGGAGAGGACTCTTTAAAGTAGAGACACTATACATACTGATATACACCTGAACATCAGCAGGAGAGGAACTCTTTAAAGTAGAGACACTACATACTGATAGACACCTGAACATCAGCAGGAGAGGACTCTTTAAAGTAGAAGACATACTGATATAAAACCGGAACTCAGCAGGGAGGACTAAGTAGAGACACTACCATACTGATATCACCTGAACATCAGCAGAGAGGACTCTTTAAAGTAGAGACACTACATACTGATATACACCTGAACATCAGCAGGAGAGGACTCTTTAAAGTAGAGACACTACATACTGATATACACCTGTAACATCAGCAGGAGAGGACTCTTTAAAGTAGAGACACTACATGCTGATATAACACCTGAACATCAGCAGGAGAGGACTCTTTAAAGTAGAGACACTACATACTGATATACACCTGAACATCAGCAGGAGAGGACTCTTTAAAGTAGAGGGGGACAAGTGAGAAAGTGAGACACTACATACTGATATACACCCTGAACATCAGCAGGAGAGGACTCTTTAAAGTAGAGACACTACATACTGATATACACCTGAACATCAGCAGGAGAGGACTCTTTAAAGTAGAGACACTACATACTGATATACACCTGAACATCAGCAGGAGAGGACTCTTAAAGTAGAGACACTACATACTGATATACACCTGACCATCACGCAGGAGAGGACTCTTTAAAAGTAGAGACACTACATACTGATATACACCTGAACATCAGCAGGAGAGGACTCTTTAAAGTAGAGACACTACATACTGATATACACCTGAACATCAGCAGGAGAGGACTCTTTAAAGTAGAGACACTACATACTGATATACACCTGAACCTCAGCAGGATGAGGACTCTTTAAAGTAAGAGACACTACATACTGATATACACCTGAACATCAGCAGGAGAGGACTCTTTAAAGTAGAGACACTACATACTGATATACACCTGAACATCAGCAGGAGAGGACTCTTTAAAGTAGAGACACTACATACTGATATACACCTGAACATCAGCACTGCTGATGTTCAGGTGTATATCAGTATGTAGTGTCTCTACTTTAAAGAGTCCTCTCCTGCTGATGTTCAGCAGGAGAGGACTCTTTAAAGTAGAGACACTACATACTGATATACACCTGAACATCAGCAGGAGAGGACTCTTTAAAGTAGAGACACTACATACTGATATACACCTGAACATCAGCAGGAGAGGACTCTTTAAAGTAGAGACACTACATACTGATATGAAACAAAAAATGAACGTATGTCCCCTTTAAGTCATAACAAATGGTGTAATGATGCCCCGGTATCCAATTCTCTCTAAACAACCATGTCATAAACAGACATTAATATGCTATAGTATAGGGCTAGCGCTGATGCCCTAAAACTCATTAGCTTGGGTCGTTTCACCTTGATCGAAAAATGTAGGCTTATCCCAACAAAATAACAAAGATGACCGATGAAAAATAAAACCAATATGTCAAGTTTCTGTCTAGTTTTGATATCAGTCACACACACACACACACACACACACACACACACACACACACACACACACACACACACACACACACACACACAACACTCACTCAGACACACACATGGTCCATATGTATGGGCGTAATGTCTTCACAGTTGGTGCTTTGGGTGTTTTGTGTGAATAAATGAAATCGGGAAACTCAATCTGCCAATCATAATACATAACATAACATTCCCTTTAGTACAAAAACCATTTCTGGTCTTTCTGGACTCAATGCAACAGAAACAGAGCAAGTTTGACAAGACACAAAGTCAATATCTGGTCTCGTTACACTGGATTGAAACAGAAATATTCGTTAGAAATGTGGATAACATGCTCACCACAAAGTAGCTCTTTAAGATCGTTGGTGGCTCCTAGTACAGGGGATGACATCATATTTGATGGGTAACATTTTTTTTTTTACAATAATTTGTACATTTAATTTGAGAGGTCACGAATAAATTATTGATGCTGATTGACGCACGAAGATCAAATGTGGGATTATGTCCAATTAAGGGTTGGGGGGATTGGCCAATTATTGGCTAAATGCATTTTTCCCCGTGTTATTTTCATTTGATTGTTCCAGTTTAAGGGTCTGCCCCAAAAGAGCGAGTGCATTCTTACATCTAACTCTCTGGAAAAAGGGTACATGTGCACAGTGCTACTCACAAACCAGTGTGCATGTATCTGATATTGCCAATTGATGGGGTGACATTTGGAAAATATACCATTTCGCCCAACACAAATCTCTATGCATGATTGTGTAACGCTCAATAGTGTTAGATGTTCGGAAATTGAGAGCAAAATAATGTTACAATGATTTGTACATTTCATTTGAAAAGAGCACAAAGATTACAAAGTGGGAATATGTCCAAATTAGGGTTGGGCGATTGGACAATAATTATATTGGGCTTTTAGCTAAATCCATATTTCCAATGTTTTACCGTCATTTATATTTTTAGTTTAAGGGTCAGGGTTAGGGTTAGGCCCCCAAAAGAGCAAGTCCAAGATCAAATCTCTCTGGAAAAAAGGGTTTATTTGGACTAAACCAGAGTTGGGGTTTGTTGGAAAAGTGGACAGATGGTAGTGGGCACAGTGCCACACAAAAAACAGCTTGAATTGATCTGCTATTGCAATTTGTTGGGCTGACGTTGGGGAAAATTAAACATATCGGCCAACACAAATCTCTATGCATGATTGTGAGACGCTGAATAGTGTTATATTTTCAGATATTGAGAACAAAATAATGTTACAATGATTTGAGAAGAGCTATATCACGAATACATGATTGATGCTGATTGCAAAAAGATTAAAAAGTGGGAATACGTCCAAATTAGGGTTGGGCGAATTGGACATTAATTATATCGGGCTATTGGCTAAATCCATATTTCCAATGTTTTACCGTCATTTGATATTTCTAGTTTAAGGGTCAGGGTTAGGGTTAGGCCCCCAAATAGTAAGCTCAACTCTATCTCTCTGAAAAAGGGTTTATTTGGACTAAACCAGAGTTGGGGTTTGTTGGAAAAGTGGACAGATGGTAGTGGGCACAGTGCCACACAAAAACCGGCGTGAATTTATCTGTTATTGCAATTTGTTAGGCTAACGTTGGGGAAAATGTAACATATCGGCCAACACAAATAGTTCAATGGTTTTTGATTTTCAGAAATTGATATCTGATCATTTGTCATCCAACGCTATAGCCGTTTTTGTACAATCATTTTTCTCAATTTATAATCTCGTTCCATGCGTTGGCGTGCACCGATGCACAGTCGCCTGTAATTGTACAGCAGGCTACATCCCAGTTTGTGGTGATCTTTTTCCAATATCTCCCTGGAATTGTCATGCATCATCATTTCATCTGAGCTGCTGCTGTCATTCAAGTTGCTAATGAAGAGATATGAAGCTCCTCTCTGGATATTTAACGCTGCATGCACAGAGGAACGTGCTCCAAAGCTTCACGTGGAATACAATCGTTTCTTTTTGATCAATTACAACAAACGTGATGGGATCTTTTCTGCATCACTCCAGGAACAAGGCGTGTCCTGTGAGGCCGTCACTGATTGGACGCCTCGGGTGAAACAGCTGATGATGGGACAGCATGCTTGGTTGAACAGCCGCTTCCTTGTTGACCACTTGACCACTACTTTAAAATGGTATTTGATTCTTTTTTACCAGATGCAAAATGCTTTCTTAATGATATTTTCATGTTGCAGAAAAGCTATATTTAATATGACTCTTTGAAGCTCTTTAAAACTTTAAAATGACAACATATATCTTTTTAAATATTGTTTTTATGATGTCTTAACACCAGCTTGAAAGACAACTTATCACAGCCCTCTTGATTTGAAAATATTATGTTTGTTTCAATACGAATCCAATTAGCATTATGTTGGGCATGTGATAACATCTTATGTTTTTTGTTTACATTACCTTGTGTTTTATTTAACTCTTAAGTAGGTCAAGCACAAGTTTGTGGACTTTGGAAAACCCTTTGAAACTCTGGCTTTACTACATGAAGCTTAACATAATGTAATTCAAAGCACATGTTCGTACACTCATTTCTTATGTCCGTTAGTGACCATTTTTTACGCTTCTTTTAGAAATGTTTTGTAGAAAATGTAGACACTGGCGTTAAAAAATTGTGCCAGTCATTGTTCATACACTGTCTCCTACAGTGTCATTGTATCCTAAACGTTTGGATATAATGGTTTAAAGGACCAACTTAAGAAAGCAAATTGTTGGAATTGTAAATAAGCAGACGTGGCATTTTAGATGTCAAGTGATCTTTGTAACCTCAACTGACCATTAGACCAATGAAAAGACATTAAGACGAATGGATCCTTGTCTTAGCCAATCACAAAGCAGCTAGAGACAGTTAAAGGTCAGTGTGTTGGGTTACAGGTTGTACAAGGAGGAGAGTGTTCAACACTTTGTTGGCTCGATGGTACAGACGGACAGTTCATCGGCTTTTGGGATTAGCCCCGGAAAATGAAATGAAGGGGGTGATAATTGGTTGATTGGCTGATGAACCTGTTGCCGGGCGGATTCCATGCATTTGGGTAGCCCTGATCGGGGGCTCTTACCACTATGGATATCCGGACTCGTTTGGACGGCCTCCTGAGTTCAGGAGACACGGGGCTCTCCACGTTGTTGTTTTTCTTTTTTTTTTCAATGACCAGAGATAAGCACACATTGTTAACATAGTGTGACTTTGCAGAAAACACTTTCCACGCCACTATGACGAAGATTTCACTGCATTAGAGTGGTGCAAGAATGAGTCCTAAAAACCTGGAAATAAGTCAGCATTTTACCACTTACAATTCCCTTGCCTCAAAGTCAACAGCGTTAACTTCAAACGTTAGCCGCCTTTAGCTTAGCGGTGGTGAAGTGAAGTCATGTGACCGTGCTGTAGTTCCTTCATACGCTAACGTTAGCCGCCTTTAGCTTAGCGGTGGTGAAGTGAAGTCATGTGACCGTGCTGTAGTTCCTTTATACGCTAACGTTAGCCGCCTTTAGCTTAGCGGTGGTGAAGTGAAGTCATGTGACCGTGCTGTAGTTCCTTCATACGCTAACGTTAGCCGCCTTTAGCTTAGCGGTGGTGAAGTGAAGTCATGTGACCGTGCTGTAGTTCCTTCATACGCTAATGTTAGCCGCATTTAGCTTAGCGGTGGTGAAGTGAAGTCATGTGACCGTGCTGTAGTTCCTTTATACGCTAATGTTAGCATTTTACTTCTAGTGATTCAACTGGTGTTTATATGTGGAGATTATCCTGCTGAACAAAATGTGTAAGTATCATAAACGTTTGTTTGGAAAAGTTCTTGTTTTATGCAATCCAGTCGGAAATGTCATTGCTTTTTGTCAAGGGAATGAGTGTGATGCTAATTTCCATGTCGGCCTACAAAAATATGTCATCCCTGCACCACTCTGTACTGGGAGGAAAGAAATTGAAACGCTAGGAAGAACGCCGTTAGCGTGGCGCGACAGGAGTCCAATTTTTATGTTAAAAGACAAAGTAAAAAAGGTTTTAAACTGAGGCGGACTGAAATTATGCAGTGTGTGTGTTCTCTGTGTGTGTGTGTGTGTGTGTGTGTGTGTGTGTGTGTGTTGTGTTTTTGTGTGGGAGGTACTGTACTGTGGAGCGTGAAGGACTGTATGTGAGAGATAGCATAAGACTGTGTGGGTGTGCAAAATGTGTGAACGACAGGATGTGTGAGGCACTGTGTGTGTGTGTGTGTGTGTGTGTGTGTGTGTGTGTGTGTGTGTGTGTGTGTGTGTGTGTGTGTGTGTGTGTGTGTGTGTGTGTGTGTGTGTGTTGGGTGTATTCCAGGACATGGCTCTCTCACCTCCAGGCCTTCTGTGTCGGGACTGGCACAGAACAGGCCCTTTAAAGCAATGCCTGAATCATCAGTTGGGCCTAAAAAGAGGAGACAGAGAGAGATTCAAAATCAGTGAAATCATCAGAGATTATTATTCCATCCTTTAGATACTTATGAGCCCTCTGTTTGCTGACTTTATATCTAAAAAAGCATTATAAATACAGCTGCATCATCTGCAAAGAAACTGTCCGAAGTGACTGGTCTTCACTTGAATGGAAACGTTGTCACATTCAGCTCTACAGAAGACTCTCCAGCACGTAGATCAACATGGGAACTTGGGGTTGTGCCTGAAATTGCACAAAGAACTTTCTAAGTCCAAGTTCTTCACCCCAGGTAAAAACCAAATATCAAAAGTTCCACACACTCTCGGTCCAAAACAAAATTCATTATTAAACTTGGAGAAAAAAAAAGTGTCAAACCATATCACAGCCTGAAGGAAAACACAGTGGAACGAAAACACAGAAACTCTATTGAGCTCCTTTTAAAATCTGACTCATCCTCTCCTATGGTTCTCACCGTCACACTTGGCAGACTTCAGACACACACACACACACACTTTTTTTTTCAGCGCCACAGTATTGCCCTCAGACTGTATTTTTCTAGAAAACCCCCTGCACATTCTCACACACACACACACACACACACACACACACACACACACACACACACACACACACACACACACACACACACACACACACACACACACACACACACACACACACACACACACACACACACACACACACACACACACACACACACACACACACACACACACACACACACACACACACACACACACACACACACACACACACACACACACACACACACACACACACACACACACACACACACACACACACACACACACCCTCCCTCTGCCTGTCATCTACAGACAAAAGGCTGCTTAATATTGCCGTCTCCAAAATAGCAGATATGTTCACCATTAGAGGTATACTGTACAGTATATAAATATATCATATTCATGTTGCTGTTTTTGAGATATGACACCAGATTATGAATTACATTTAATTGTATTTATTCCAGTCTTACTGTTTCTTAATTACAGTACACCCAAAATATGTATTTGAGACATTTAAGACATGTAGGGTTGAGAAACAGTAATAGGCAAACTTTTGCTTTTCTTCCACATCTCCACATATTTATCTATAATTAGAGTTTACAGTTTTTATTCTACTGGACAGTATTTCATTTAAAAATTGGTTTATCTGACATTATGTTTTTTTGTACATTTGCACCACTATGTCTATTGCAATATTTGTTTTAATGTTGAATTTATCACATGTTGCATTTTTAGATTGATAAGATGTTCATTGCCAAGCTGTAGCTGTTATGCACAGATGAACAATAAAGCTGTTGAACCTTTGAAGCATTTGTTTTTGTCATTTTTTTTAATCTATTCAATACGTTACGTCAGGGCTATTAATATTGGCGGCCCGCGGGACAAATCCGGCCCGGGGTGATATGTACTGGCCCTTTGAGAATAATGTTAAAACGTAATCACATTTTTTCATTTTTTTAAAGATTTTTTTTTGGGCCAGAGTGCCTTTATTCCAGAGAGGGTGTTACATTGAGAGATAGAGGGGAAGACATTGCCTGAAAACTTCGGCGGGCTCGGGTTTCGAACCCACCTACTAGCTACTGTAGTGTATTGCATCTCTGCGTGGATGATTAGATAATTTCACCTAAATTAAATGAAATGAAATGATGTTGAAGGTTAGATTAGCTTCACATGTAGGCCTACTGAGTTCCGAGCCATTTAGATTTATAAAGGCCTTGGGGCTATGTTGTTTGATTTAATTAAACACACTATATGCACTCCACTATGCTGTTGTAGTATTTACTGTATCTGAAGCTCTTAATATGATTGCTCATATTTCAAGCCATCTTTTTCCCGGCCCCTTGCTTTGGATCATTTTCATCAACCGGCCCCCATTCCAAACTAATTGAATAGCCCACGGTTACGTCATTAATACGTCCTAACATGTTTATTTTTCATTATCAAAGAGACAGAAAGGTGTGATTCATGTGAGTTTAAGGACAGAAAAGCCATTAAAGAAACTCCTTATGGATCTATTACATCCAAGTTCTTTGCTTTTTGATTGCCTCTTCTGTCTAGTGTGTGTGTGTGTGTGTGTGTGTGTGTGTGGGTGTGTGTGTGTGTGTGTGTGTGTGTGTGTGTGTGTTTCTTACTGGTGGGGATCTCGGTGGGGCGCTCCACCACAGAGGGTCTCTTCAGTGCAGGTTTGAGGGGTTTTTGAGGGACTGTACGAGTAGGACTGAAGGAGGACTCCTCAGTGGAGATCTGCACACAAACACACACAAACACACACATCAGAAAACAACACTGAAACACACACACACCCTATTACTGCTAAAGAGCTCTTTCTGTAGACTCATTAAATAAATAGGTCTTTTATTTCCACAGTGATGAGATTGTGGCTCATTTGAAGCAGAAAAAGTAGAAAAGATATTAAAAAAAGACAAAAGGAAACGGTAGTTGAGATCTAAAAAAAACTCTTCCTCCGTTGGCCTCGATTGTGAGGTTTCATGACTTTAATGACTTTCCATGCTGGCATGTCCATGACCTCAAAAATATTGTAATGTGAGTTTTGAAGTGCTGGTTTTAACCCGAAAATGTTCCGCAGATCAAATGCCTCTCTGATGATAGTTAGAAATATATTCAGCTGTATTTCTGAGGCCATTTAAAAATTAATGAATGTTCTTCACATACTGGGCTGATAATGTCTTTTACTTTAGTGTTCAACATGAGCTAATTGGAGTTTCTGTTATACACTTCCCATTTGTTCAGGACGTCTTGTATACTATGAGTTTTAAATAAAGGAACAAAATGTGAGTAACGTTGGTGGGTCAGGCTTTATCGTTAACATGCATACAATGATTCTAGCTTTAAGGAAGGCGGGTTATCATAAACGCATTATACACTGCTGCCTATGTAGCTTCTGTCTCACACACACTAATGACTCTTTTGCTATAAAGGAACGACAGCACGGTCACATGACTTCACGTCACCACCGCTAAGCTAAAGGCTGCTAATGTTGGGCTATAAAGGAACTACAGCACGGTCACATGACTTCACGTCACCACCGCTAAGCTAAAGGTGGCTAATGTTGGGCTGTAAAGGAACTACAGCCCGGTCACATGACTTCACGTCACCACGCTAAGCTAAAGGTGGCTAATGTTGGGCTATAAAGGAACTACAGCACGGTCACATGACTTCACGTCACCACCGCTAAGCTAAAGGCTGCTAATGTTGGGCTATAAAGGAACTACAGCACGGTCACATGACTTCACGTCACCACCGCTAAGCTAAAGGTGGCTAATGTTGGGCTGTAAAGGAACTACAGCCCGGTCACATGACTTCACGTCACCACGCTAAGCTAAAGGTGGCTAATGTTGGGCTATAAAGGAACTACA